AAAAAAGACAAGCCCCTGAGCCCAATATTTTACAATGCAATAAGAGGTAGTTGGCTGAATTGTCTGCAATGCAATAATTCGCTCATTCAGCATTTGTCTGCTACCTCTGTTACACAACAAAACACACAGGCCCATAGTCATAATCTCTAGCTGGATTGTGAAGGCGCAATGTTCTCTAACCACTCCACAGTTCTGTGTTTTTTGTGCATGAAAGCCAGGTCACGAGGCGTGTAACCTTTCGCGTTAGGCAGAAAAGGCGGCGTGCTGCAGTCAGACACGAGATACTGCACGACATCCAGGTGTCCCTCCCGCGCCGCCAGATGCAGAGGCAGGTTGCCGTCGTTGTCAGGGAGATTGACATCAGCACCATTCTGCGCGAGCACCCGTAGAGTGTCCAGATACCCGTCTCGCGCGGCGTCGTGACTGACGGTCAGTCGTAGGATGGGATCGCGCGCATTTGGGTCGGCGCCAGCTAGAAGCAGCGCTTCCGCTATGCACGGGCAGCCAAGTTTCATCACCTGAGATACAACCCAAAGAGAATGTGTTATTGTTACATTAATTAATTACATGAATCACTTTTAGTGAAAGTGTGAATTTTAATTAAGTCTCATGAGTGCATTATTATTATTATTATTTTTTTATCACGATATAGGGTAAAATCTATATGAATGCATAAGGGATATCTATATCTAGATTTATCTATCTATCTATACACTGTATAGCTTGTGTACCTATTATTATTATTTTTAGAAGATACTTAATTATGTAATTATAATGTAAATAGAAAGAAATCGAAGATAGGAATAGTTTGAAAGAATAACCACGACTGTGACATAAAAAAAAAATGTTTGTGGTGAAATCTATCAGTTTTAAGCACAAGACGACCTCCTAAATGATGACTCTCTGACCTCTGATGATAATAGGTATTAAGTTATGAAGTGATGGCATAGACCTAATCGACATGCCCATGAAAAAAATCCTCATACTATGAATTGTGTTTATGGAAATTTCAAGAGGAAGTTCACCAGTAGGCTACATCACACGAATTGTTTAATATGGGTAAGGCTTCATTTTACACAGCTCATTCTCGGATAATTATTATGCATGCGTTTTTTTTATAGCTCATATTAATTAGTGATAAAACGGTCAAAATCTAAAAAGTAGTGACCAGTCACAGCACCTAAAATATGTACTTTTCCTTATTCACTCATATAATTTTAAACCTAAAATCGTAATATTTTATGTGCCATGTACCAACACATATAGCCTACCACATTTGCATAAACAGAAATTGGCATACGCTACGGCTACTAACATCGAGGATGGGGATTACCCAGTGTTCAGATTATCACTCATTCTGAAGTCAAGAGAATATATTGTGTGAATATGACAAGAGCACATGAGTAATATTAGAATATTTCAGACTGACCGAATTTAAACAGCTATATTGTGCTTGGTGTAAGTCCAGGCGGCCTTCTGATAAGCAGAATGTAATTGAAATAACAATTTAAAAAGCAAAAACAGTCTCTCGAGGCTTACACTATTTTAGTTAATTTATTTTATTTAATTCTAGAATTTTATCCTACCCCATAATAGGAAATAATAAACATACGCATATACAATCACTTCGGGCCTTAGAATAGAAACGCCATGATCATTAAAAATACATTTTATCTTTGCTGTTACACTTATGTTGTAAAAAATATAAAAACAAATACAATGATATCTGAATTATCCTAATTTAAGTGTGAAAGGCTGCCAAAATTATGTCAGATTTCAGTTGGCTCGTGAGCTGACTGTGGTGTAATAAAACACTTTTCAGTTTCCACAATAAATTCTTTATGTCAGAGAACGAGTGACGCTAATTTGTTGGCATAATAAAATGTAGATCATTTGTAACAGGTGCGTACTTGTTGGTTCGCAGGTAAACTTGTTAAAAAACCACAGGTTTAGTTAGAAGTAAATCAACCAGGCCACTGCTAGTGAGTGCAAAAAAAAGAAAAGGACAAAATGTTTTCCTGAGGCTGATGCACTATGCATTATAAACATCGTGTTTATATATGAAAGTCGTTCATGGAGATGTGAGTCTAACCTGCAATGGTGTCCTGCCGTACTTGTTCTTCTCATTAACGTTCACGTTGCTTTGCAGTGTCTGCTCAATTTCTTTCAGATCTCCAATCGCAGCTGCAGTGCTCAGCCTATCTATAGCTGTGTCCTCGGCCATTATATCCTGACAAAGGAGGTAGAATATCTCTGGTGCTTGCGTTTAAAAAAAATGTTCGCTGGTTTATATGTAAAAAGGACTACAAAGCTCGCTGTAGTAAATAGTCCGATCCTGCGGCCCCCTAAAAAAATATCCGTTGGAGATGCGCCAAGGTCCACCCACATTAATATCGTCCTACCGAAACCATCGGAACCTTCGGAGAAAACAGGGATGCCAAGCACGTTCAAGAATTATATGGGGGGAAAAAAAGGAAAAAGAAACGAAACATCCTCTTTTATTATTATCAATGCGCGAAGTTCCTCCCCGTGTCCATGAATGACATGCAGCTCTCCTGTGGTCTTAGTCTAGATATGATCTCACATTCAAACGGATCTGTAGTAGTCACATGAAAAATGCTCGTATCTGAGAGCCAAACTTCCCTTTCATGAGTCCTTTGATATTAACTATATGCAGGTGCAATGGGCTGGAGAACTGCGATGCGTTCATGGCATTCGCAGATGTTGTCATTTCAAGCCTCCGAACGACCTCTGAAACATAAATAGAGTTAGAAGACTGTTATTCCGCGAGGACATTTCTATTATGCATCCAGTGGGTTTGCAAGCATGTGTTGTAAGTTTTATGCAAGCTTCCCGCCCATTTTGAATATGAAACGTCAAAAGCGACGTTTCAAGCAAAATATGTGCACATCAAAGAACGCTGGTATGAGGGTTATCAAAACTTGTTAACTGACACTAGCCCGGTATTACAAACGGACACGTGTAGAAATAAGCTGGAATAGGTTTTCAGTCAGCGATCAAGCGTTTCAAACTGCAGGCGTGAATATCTACAAACGTTCTGTCGTAGTGTTTCCTCGCGCACGGAGGTGCAGTTACACTGTGACGATTCAGCCGATGATGGACGACGTCATAATGGATCATTTAAAATGAAACATTGTATCCTCTACCTGCAGAATGGTTAGGCTACGTCGCGGGCATCGAGTTATCCTCTTCGACCGGTTTATGGGCGTTGAATAAGCTGGTTGGAAGACAGCTGACTATGTCAGAGAGTCTGCCGCTGTTGTTTGACATCACTCCGTTTTTGAAATAAAGGGCCAACACTTCCGCCCACTTTTTCTAACAGACGCGGAGTGAGGCGGGACTCAACGGTAATGTTGCTGGGGAGAGGCTGAGAGATGCACGTTCTGCTTTCTTCTCACAGGCTCTGGCCATGTTAGACATTTCATCCTTGAGTTGTGAAGGCTTTGAAGTGTTGGTATTAGCAGTGTAAAATCCCCCTCTCCATAAATGTGTGTTTGAAGTGAAATTTATTGAAATTACTGGTAGGATGAAAGGCTGTAAAACAGTGCAAGTTTTATATTCAATCATGTGAACTGCCGAGATGAAACCATCGAGCGCACCACAAGTACAATCTGTCTGAAAATGGCCAGTTTGTCAATATTTGACCATCGCATTGTTTTGTTTATTCATTGGAATTAAAGCCATATAGCACAGCAATAGCTAATATGTTTACATTAACACTACTACACACTAATATATTATATGCTACTGAGACATACTGCTACATTCCTGCTCATAAAAACTAAACCAGCCTATACTGATTTGCTGTGTTTTAGAGGATTTTGGGCACATTTCAGTGGGCAAGGCTGTGAGACCAGCAAACCAGTTTAGGCTTAGGTTTATTTATTCTTCTAAATTTTATTTTATATTTGATTTTTTTCCAGGCCAGGCAGGCATGAATAGAGACGAGGTTTATAAAAAACTCAAGTAAGTTTAATTGCAATGGATGTCTCTGGTTCACTGGTTTAAGATGGTCTAGCTGGTCTCCTAGCCTGCAGGCCAAGATCAAGGCCTCTTAGCCTGACCCACTGAAAACGGCTCTAAACCCCTCTAAAACCAGCATTGTGGGGCTGGCATACCTGCTAAGACCAATGAAGGCTGGTTTATTGATTTGTTTTTGTTTTATTATTTTTGAGACAAGCTTTACGTTTGTAGGTTAAAGTTTAAACGTTAAGCTTTAATTGCAATGAAGTCTCTAGTTTGCTGGATTAGGATAGTTTTACCTGTTTTAACTGGCCGAGATGGTGCTCTGCTGTTTAACAAGCTAATTTTTTCATCCTGACCCACTGAAAATTGCTCTAAACCCATCTAAAACCAGTCTGATATGGCTTGCATGTTCCTGCTAAGACTAGCAAATCAACTTAAACTTGTTTAAGCTTTTTTTAGCATAGATGACATAAAGGAAACCTGTGAGTTTAGTCGGAGTATCCATTAGTAAAATTACGATTTTTCTAAAATCTTACTAACGTTTGGTTGCTCATCATGGTTGGCAGTGTTATATCTTCATGTTTACTAAATAAAAAACTCATTTTGGTGGGGTTGCAGTCTGAGTCGGGTAGTGAACTGTGAAAATTGCTACAGACAAAACAATCATTGCTTTGGAACTGCCTACAGTGCCCATATACATTTTTAATAATATATTTTTAAAGCTTTTTTTTGTTTGTTTAAAATGTCATAAGGTAGTCAAACAAGTCGCTTGTTTAACAGTCTTCAACCGCGGCCCTGCTGCTGCTTTAAAATTTACACAGCTCTTTCCAACCGTGTGCGGGGCGCGACAATTCACAGCACTTCTTTACGGCAGCCGTAAGATGTTTCTGTTGCTTTGAACGCCGATCCAGAACACCAAAGTGACGATAACAAAAAAACTGAAAGCCCCCAAACACTGACAACACGGACCCGAAGAGCAGCATTTATACTCGGTTACTTGCCGCACACTGATAAGCCGTGTCCTGAGCTGCTTTTTTGAAATCGGTGGTTGATATTTTTGGGGTTTTTACATGAGTCGTTAGCCTCTCACTGCAATGGCCTCCGACAGCAACATGGACAGAGAAATGATCCTGGCCGACTTTCAGGTGGGCTTCCTCACATAAATACGGATAATCTGTGATTTTATAAGATCTGGATGTGTAGATCAGACCCGTTCTTGTGCCTGCTCAGAGCTAGCCGGGCAACGGCTATTGAAGTCACTTCTTTTTGTTGACATGTCTCGAGATGATCAGCTGTCAGTGGCTTTGTTTGAATTATTCAGCAAAAATTAAATATGGAAAGCACACGACCAGACAAAATAACAATAGACAGCTTAAAATACATCATTTTGGTGTCGTCTGCTTATTTGGGACTAGAAAACATTACTAGACTGTCATCTGAAGCCTTATCTGTCTCTTCATGACCCTGTAATGACCAGAAGCTGTCAGATGACTCTGCACGGTTTCTACACTGCCATCACCTGTCACATTCATGTTTTTCAGTTTGTTTGCCTTGGGATTTTAAATATTAGTCAGTTTTACAAGTATTGACACTATGTTTTGATTGGCAAACTGTTTATTTAGTAGGAGCAGAAAGAGATCTGAAATATGTAGCAATTACAAATATTTTGATATGGCATGCACCAAAATTGAAGGTTGCTTATATGAGTCAGATTACAAGTATTGACAATATGTTTTGATTTACAGACTCTCTATTTAATAGGAGCAGAAAGAGATCTGACACGTGGCAATTACAAATATTTCACCAAAATTGAAGGTTGCTTATATACACTGTGTTTTATTGTAACTATAAGGTTTACAATAAACATCTCTCATATAATTTAAAAGCTTTTATTTATAATATTCAGTGCATAATGCACTAGAAATTAAAATGAATAGAAATGAATTCTCTCAGAAATGTATTTTTGGCCTGTTCTGTTATTTAATTCTTTCAATATAAAAAGAGGACTTTTTAGTTTATGGTATTTTTAAAATGCAAATATCAAAACCAGTTTGTTCTTTTTATTTCAGGCATGTACCGGAATCGACAACATTGCTGAGGCAATCACACTTTTAGAACTCAACAACTGGGACTTGGTGGTAAGATGCACTTTGTTCGTTAAATCTGTAAGACTGACTCACAGCTAGATTTTTTTCAAACCACAAACCATTTTAACAAGTGCATGTGTCTCCTGCTTATTGTTTGTTTGTGGATTGTGGTGATACATCGGAGACAAAGCCACTATGTTTAGTGCAAAATCAATTTAATGGTACCATTGTTCACTGGACATTCTGGCACAGTTCTGTAGTAGCTGCATTTCCATATACCAGTTAAGTTGACTTACAATAGAAATTAGTCATCAACAAAACCTAGTCAGTCATTTTTGTCTTTACAAGACTTTGTTAATTTTATATTTTTGACACTCAGTGAACAACTGGTTTATAATCAGGGGCGTCATGTGTCTAGCTTTTTTTCAGGAGGCATCAGTAAGAGTTCTAACACTTCTTTCAAACACTGTCTGTGAGTCACGATTGTGTAGTGGTGTAATTTTATAGTATGCATGAGGGGATTGGTTCAGATCCTGATATTATATAACAAATAAACTTTATAATGAACCAAGCTAAATTACAGCTGTACTCGACTGCCAGGGATCACCCTGCATGTTTGTGTATGGAAAACAGCAGGACTAACTTTTTGATAATACCATTTGTGCTTCATAGGAAAAACCCAACCCCCAATAAAAATATATATTATTCTTTGTAATAAAACCTGAGCTTTTGCTGTAATAATGTCTTCAGAGCCAATTATATATTTTTGAATTATTAACCGAAATGAAAACATATTATTAAGCCTTTGCTGAAGCTATTCCAGAATATTAATAATATTATAAGTACTGCATCGATTCAGTAAACCATGTATTCTTTAGCTTATAGAAATCAGTTAATTTAAACTTTCAGCATTGGACACCGCAAGGCTAAACTTCACCTTATCTCTGCATTTGGAAGCGCAACACAGCAACACAGATTCCTTAGCATGTGTAGTTCATCTAAATAAGTGCTAAAAGACTGTTGTGTTGACAAATCCTATTTTTTATTTTATTATTTTTTTAATTCCCCCAACCACCTGCATGCAAAGTGTCCATGGTTCTGCATGAATCACATAAGTTAAATCACATATTTTAGCTTAAAAACTTTAGGGCACTATGAATTTTGTACCTGCAATAGTGGTGGAACTTAATTATCAAATGTAAAAAAAAATTTTAATACTTGTATGGCACAATTGGGGGTGCATGAATTAGGACATTTTGGGTAAATACTGATGTTTTAATAGTGTGATTAGGCAATGAGCCTCTTTAACTGCACTTTTAAAAGCATTTAAGAGCTTTAAGCCACATACTGTAGCAAAATGCACCACACTGTAAAATTATGTAAAAGATTGTGAAATTAATACATTCAAACATATAGGCAGTCTATTTACTAGCTCCTCAACCGATCCAATAGGAAATCACTAGTATCTAAAATTTATTTGCCCTCTTTTAGGATTTTGTTTAGATTCAGTGATGTAAATCACCAATTACTAAACATTTGCAAGAACATGATTAGGTTTTGTTATTGCAGGATAAACTTTATCACAACATAAGCACGAACTGTTTCTGTCAATTTACATCTTGAATTCAGTCCGCTTCCGTCTGACTGCTGCAACTCCTGTTACTTAAATTAGCTTTTTTAAATTTCATTTGTTACACATTTAATTTGAGACATCATTAGAGGCAATAAAGTGTGATAGAGAAATGCATGCCCAATCATAGGTCAAGATCCATACCTTTTTTTTTTCAAGCAGGAACTGTTTCACCCCTAGTGAACAAATAATAGTTCCTTTGTTGCTCCTACTGTGCAGAGCTTATGTGTCTAGGTGTCTGTTTCAGTCGATAATGCTGTTTGAACAGACAGTAATATCTGCTGCAGTCTAGTCTGCAGAGACCCACACCTTTTTATAGCCTTTCATCTTATCTATTGTAAACAGTTCATTTAGACAGATCAAAACGGTCCTAAAAATTCCTTGTTGCAGGAGCCTATCCCTCCCTTTGAATACATGGTGTGGAAATGGTAATTGTAAAAGTCTTCTTAGTCTTATTACCAGGATCCTGGTGATTTATAATCTGGTATATAACCTGGTATATCACCTTTCATTCACCGCCACACAAACATTTCACCTCTAAAACCTAAAAAAATATGCAGCTGTGACTGGTGCCACACCACAGACAAAGGCAGACAGGCAGAGCTTGTTTTGTTTGGGTGAATTCAACAGGGGTGTGTCCTCTGGC